TCTTTTTTCTCTTTTTGGGGTGAGAACAGAGAAAGCTTATGAGGTGCTTTAATGGCGCTGATGAGCTATTTGCTTCTTTCTGCAGAGCTCGGCGAAGATGAACACCAGAAGCCCTTTTTTGGATTTGAAAAAGGTCAGTTTTTTATGTGCTATTTTTTGATGGTAAAGTGTGGCGTATTTCTTGTTTATTGGAGAAGATTCAGCGAAACGAATCAGTTTTTTTTTGTTTTTTGTTTTGGATTGTTTTCAGTATTTCAGTTTGATTTTTCATTTTTGCGCTTTGATCTTTAACTGGTTTAAAGTTTGGTTATTTATGGAAGAAACAGTGGAAGAACTGAAGGTAAGAAAATATAATACAATATTAATGGAAAAAAAATAGGAAAAAAAGAAAAAACCTTAAGTTCCATTAATCTATATATTAACTTTTTATTCCGAGCAGCGAACAGAGTGCAAAATAACATTTTTTTTTCTTAATTTGATGTTTAATGATGAAGCATAATTTGATGCAAACAAGACAGCTAGGGAACTTCAAAAATATTTTTTTATAGATTTTTACCAACTAATTTAGTTAGCTTCTCCACTTAGGCTTCATTTGAGGCAGTGTCACCGATCAACAATTTTTTTTTAAAAGCCACATCCTCGAATTGAAGGCCAGCTGCGATCTAAACGGTAAAAATTCATCTCTCTTTTGAAACGAAAATTTTTACAGGCATCAACATTCACTTCAGCCGAACGGAACTTCACCAACGCCTAAAAACCAAATTTTTCTCACAACATAAATAATTTACTCAAAAATTAAGGCCAAAATCTAATCAGAATTTCAAGATAACATCTCATTGTAAAATAAGATTGGGCCAAACTCAGTGTGTTAGATAGATAACATCAAAAATCCATTATTTTAATAACAGTGCAACATTAATAACATTGGAGCAAGCAAGTGGTGCGTATGTTGTCAATTAAAGAAACCACCAAAAGACTTTGTATATCCTATTTTTTTCATTAGTGCTCCCCCTTGTCTTCTCCATTAAAGTTACAGAAGAAAACAAAGAAAACTCCAAAACGGAATCTGAAGAGAACAGCACAGATGGCTCATGTCAAAGCTCTCCAAGAGGAGTTTTAGAGATTCCTACCTCAAGCATTCATTCTGACACTGCAAGCAGCAACGATTCTTCTTCCTCCATTGATAGATCTCTGAGTCCTGAAGGGACTGTGCTAGAATGTCACAGCTCACAATGGAGGAATCTGATCGGCGGGCTGTTGCAGAGGAAGAAGAGAAACATCATGAGGCTGTCGACCTTCCCGCCGGCCATGAAAGCTTCGTGCTTGGAGAGGAAGTGCTTGGGAATGTTTCAGAGCGGTGAAGAACAACCCAAGGGAGGATTAGTTCAGCTGGAGATTCCGATGAGGAAGCCATGTTGGAGGAATTTCGACCTGCAGGAGCTTGTGGCGGCTACTGATAACTTCAGTCATGGTAAATTCTTGTAAATTTGATTTATATTAAGTTTCAGTAGAATTTCTGTTGAATTAGGATGTAAATTTGAGTTTTTTTTTGGTGCAAAGTTTGTTTTTGGGGTAAAATCAAGTTAGTTTAAGGCTATTTTAGTTGATGTTGATAGAAATATGGAAGATTTTGCATTACATACCACTTAGCTCACATATGTTTACATATCTATTCTAATACCAAAGCTTCAATTTTTACATACATGCCATCTTACCTAAACAAAAAATGGTGTATTTAACCAAAAATAAATAAATAAAGTTAAGTAGTATTTTTGATGTGATATGAAAGATTTCAGTGGTTTAAATGTAAAAAAATAAAGTTTAGGTATTAGATATGGAAATACATGAGAATTGAATGGTATGTTTATAAATGACCCTAGAAATTAATGATGACATCTAATAAATTTACCATTTTTCAAAGCATTTTTTTTACTGAATTCAAGCAAACAATTTAGCCCTTATGTCATTGTTTAATTTCTTCATGAATCTACCGAATATAGAAGCAGTTAATTTGGTTGTATTTATTTAACAGGATGCTTTTTATATATATTTTCTTAACCAAACTATAGTCTTATTTCATCAGTCTTTGAAAGTTGTTACTAATCACATAAATAATATAAAAAGCTGATAGCTTTTTAGCTCTTAATCCTCTGATTACTTAATTTAATTATTTTAACACTATGACTGTTTTTGGCTTTGGATGCATACAGTACACAGATTGAGCCATTCAACACTTTTCTTTGTTTACTTATGAGTGGTTGAGTGACATAAAACTTGTCCTGTCTCTCCTAAAAATGCTCATCTCATGATGTTACATACATTTTTTTAATTTAAGCAGCTGTAAATATCACTAATTACACTTTTCTTGATCAAGGTAAAATATATATAAAAAAATTTTAGCTGGCACTTAAACAAACTTACTAAGAAGATGATATAAAGGTGCTTCCATTCCAATCATCATATCACAAGCTCAGTTGGTGTCCTCTTAAGGAAAAAATATAGGGAAGATTTACATACATATCACTTAATTGCTTTGCATTTACATATCTTACACCTAACCTTCAATTTTTGCATCTATGCCGCCTTACCTATGCATGAAAATGTGTATTTCACTTTTTAAAAGTTAAAATGACGTTATTTTGATGTAATATGAAAGGTTGGAGTGTGTAAATGTAAATAAGTACAATTTGGATGTTAGATATGTAAGCACACAAGAAATGAATGGTATATATGTAAATGCCCATAAAAAGTAAAAGAAAAAATGAAAAAAAAAAAGAGCTTTTTTGAATAGTTTATTTGAACATTCTCATATTTTAAATTTTCTGTCTTGTTTAGTATATTTACTTAGACATGTGCCAAGGTGTTATATTTATTGAGGGGCATATCAACTTTTAGTACTGTTTCTAACAAAATCATAAATTACATTTTAAATTTATTTTAAAGTATGGTACCCTCTTCTCAGTGTTACACAACATGGTAGTTCTCCTTCTTTTAACTTCTGTTAAATGGAGACTCTGATCTTGTTCTGATAAATTTAAGGGGCATTTACATACATACCGCCAAAACCCTATATGTTTACACAACTAACAATGAAATTTTACATTTTGCATTCATACAGTAATCCTAGTCTCTTATATCACATTGAAGATATCAATACTTTAACTTTTAATAAAGTGGAATATACATATTTTCATGTAAAAATTAAAGTTTAGGCCTTAGATATGTAAGCAAGTAAATCTTTTAAATTTTATTGTGCTGCCTTGACTCACTTGAAGTGGTCTTTCAATCTGTTTTTTAAACATAAACATGCATAAATTTAATTTTTTTTTTAATCTCTATGTTGATGTGTAGTATTTCTAGATATAAATTCATTATGAAAATTTATTTTTATGAATATTTTTGGTTTCTTTTTTATTTCTAGATCAACTAAGGGGGTGATTTATTTATTTAATTACATCAAGATATTTTTGTTATTTATTATATTCAATTTGTGCTTTTTTGATAACCAAATTATGTCAATATTATCAATTTTATCTTAAAAATGAATTATATGTTTTTCTGTGGGCTTTTTATTACAAAAAGGGGATTTACATACATACCTTGCATTTCAGCGGATTTGCGTGTCTGACCCTGAAACTTTGATGTCTACTTATATACTTATATAACAATGTATAGTCATAATTGCATCAAAATACATGCATGAAAATGCATGTTTTACTTTAAAAAACATCAATGCTATTGATAATTTTTATGTGATGTTAAAGATTTAGTTGTGTTTTAAACTTCAAAAAAAACTAAAGATTATGTGTTAGATATGTAAATACATACAAAACATGGCATATGTTTGCAAATCCCATTAAAAAATATCTAAACTTATTGTACTTATTTTTAAATTTAAATGTATTAATTTCATTGTGATTGCACATTCTTGCTTTGTTTGGTTTAAATGTCTATTTTATTTTCCTTCTTGTGTTACACCTTACAAAACATAAGATTTATCTAATTTTCTTCTATGTTGACAATTTATTTATTTATTTATTTGCAAACTTAACAGAGAATTTAATTGGAAAGGGAGGGCATGCAGAGGTGTACAAAGGCCGTCTCCCTGACGGCCAATTCGTGGCCGTCAAGAGGTTAACTAAGAAGGAGAAAGAAGAAGAGAGAACCGGTGATTTCTTATCGGAGCTCGGAATCATTGCCCATGTGACTCACCCAAATGCTGCACAACTAGTGGGATTTGGTGTTGAGGGTGGCTTGCATATGGTTCTCCAATTCTCTCCGCATGGAAGCTTGGCTTCCGTACTTCACGGTATATTTTTTCAGTAAAGTATTAAAATAGTCCCTGATTATCTACATAGGACAATTTTAGTCACAATAGTCTATAAAATTGTCAAATTAGTACTCAAACTTTCTTAATGGGGGCTAAAATAGTCCTCCGTGGTGACTATATATAAGGCCATATGGAAAGAGTCTAAGGACTAAATTAACACTTTTATAGACTCTGGAGCTAGCCATTTTCAAAGAGTTGGGGAATTATTTTGACAGTTTTCTCTTTTTAGTAACTTGGTTCTCCTCTTTGCGCTTTTACTGAGATAGATAGCCTTTTATTATCTGTTCTTGTCTAGTCATAGTTTAATCAGACCTTAGAATGAGAAAATTCTAATTGACATAGCGAACTTGAGAATCTTTGAATTGAATAACACATTCTGAGTCTTAACTCATAGGGTATGGTCTACTGGTTTAAGCCAGTTGAGTCGAGCTTCAACTACTAGCTTGAGCTTGACTAATTAATTGAGTTTACGTTCAAACTTGAGCGTAATTCTATTAGATTAAGTAGGCTCATGATTGACTTCTTTCTCATGAAAGAGATATCAGCTTTTCTAATAAAACGATGAAAGGAATGGCAATGTATAGGATAGATGATAGGAAACCACTTGAAAAGGGGAAAATAAAAGTACATTTATGTTATTTCTTAACAAATTGGTCTTTTTAAACCATTCAATCTAGTTACTTTCAAATGTATTTTAAATTTATATTTGTTAAGTTTTGTGATGAGGTGAGCCTAGGCGATTAAGCAGAGCTCGAGATAGCTCCACTCAATTATAGCCTTAGTCCAGCCTAAGAGCGCAATATTAGGTAGTCTTTATCGTGACATGGAAGTCTAGATTACAAGTTTTATTTACTTATAAGTGTGTCTCAGGCTCTATGAGATAGCTCGACTCAATTATAGCCTTAGTCTAGCCTAAGAGCACAATATTAGGTAGTCTTTATCGTGACATGGAGGTCGAGATTATAAGTTTTATTTACTTATAAGTGTGTCTCAGGCTCTATTTAGTACAAATATGTCGATGTGATGATGCTTAATAAAATAAGTTCACCTTACTCTCATATAGTAATATAAACTACTCTATAACTTGTTACGGGGGATGCGAAAACCAAATTGAGATATTTGAAGCAAAACTTAGAATAAAAGTGCACAAAACAAGAAAACACAGAAAACGTCAAGATTTAATATTGAAAAACCCTGAGAACGGAAAAAAATTATAAAACCACACTACGCTAAGAAATTCACTATGAAGAAAATGAGAAGAATTATCTTATATTACACCACACTCGAAGCTCTCCACATTTTAGAACTTGAAAACCCTATTCTTCTCCCTCAAACAGAAGAACTTCTACACACAAGAAATTGAAATCGACACTCAAGGAAGCGAAAACATGAAGTGAAAATTGACTCTGTTCGGTTACTGGCATCGGGACACCGCGATATTACGCTGTGATGCTACAATGGGCGCGTTACCAGGGGCATTGTAATGTCACGCTCTCGGGTTCTGAATCTGGCGCGTTGCAGCATTGGGGTGTTGCATCTGGGGGCTGCAGCACTCCCCTTTAGGCTCTGGAGTGTCGTACGCTTGGGTTCTAAACTTAGGCTTAGGTGCTGTAGAATCCTCTTCCAGCCACTAGGGTGCTAGGTATAGCAAAAAAAAATTTTCAAAGGGCAATATGGGGTCACCCACATAGCCCCTGAGCAAATCATGCTTGATCGACAAAATTGAGGGCTTTGAGTGTCCAATTAATGAACATAATCAGGCTCCACATAATAAAATAACTAAATTCATACATTATAATATAATGTCACAGAGAATATGCACATGTAAAATCATATATCTGTAAATATATTTCTCATATAAATAAAAAAATAAAAAAAATAAAAAATTAAAAAATAGAAAACTATAGCTTAGCCTGGTTAAGAGAAATTCAGCTCTACAGGTTCGAAGGAGAGGCTCAACTGGAAGGTGAGGTTTGATATTGCTTTGGGGATAGCAGAAGGGCTTTGCTATCTTCATGAAGGTTGCCAAAGGCGCATTATCCATAGAGACATCAAAGCCTCCAACATTCTCCTCACTCAGGACTATCAACCTCAACATTTTAGAACTTGAAAACCCTATTCTTCTCCCTCAAACAGAAGAACTTCTACACACAAGAAATTGAAATCGACACTCAAGGAAGCGAAAACATGAAGTGAAAATTGACTCTGTTCGGTTACTGGCATCGGGACACCGCGATATTACGCTGTGATGCTACAATGGGCGCGTTACCAGGGGCATTGTAATGTCACGCTCTCGGGTTCTGAATCTGGCGCGTTGCAGCATTGGGGTGTTGCATCTGGGGGCTGCAGCACTCCCCTTTAGGCTCTGGAGTGTCGTACGCTTGGGTTCTAAACTTAGGCTTAGGTGCTGTAGAATCCTCTTCCAGCCACTAGGGTGCTAGGTATAGCAAAAAAAAATTTTCAAAGGGCAATATGGGGTCACCCACATAGCCCCTGAGCAAATCATGCTTGATCGACAAAATTGAGGGCTTTGAGTGTCCAATTAATGAACATAATCAGGCTCCACATAATAAAATAACTAAATTCATACATTATAATATAATGTCACAGAGAATATGCACATGTAAAATCATATATCTGTAAATATATTTCTCATATAAATAAAAAAATAAAAAAAATAAAAAATTAAAAAATAGAAAACTATAGCTTAGCCTGGTTAAGAGAAATTCAGCTCTACAGGTTCGAAGGAGAGGCTCAACTGGAAGGTGAGGTTTGATATTGCATTGGGGATAGCAGAAGGGCTTTGCTATCTTCATGAAGGTTGCCAAAGGCGCATTATCCATAGAGACATCAAAGCCTCCAACATTCTCCTCACTCAGGACTATCAACCTCAGGTAAATAAATAATTAATTAAATTACATAATCTTTTTATTTATTTATATTTTAAACCCAAAAAACATTTGGTTTTCATGCAGATCTCAGACTTTGGGCTGGCAAAATGGCTTCCAGACAAATGGACTCATCATGTTGTGTTTCCCATTGAAGGCACATTTGGGTGAGCCTTAGTCACTGTAAATTAGATAGAAATTTAAGAAATTTACACACATACCCCACAATTCTTTTATATTTTACATATCTATCATTTAAGCTTTCATATTTACATTTATTTCACTTTGATTCTATAAATTAATGCATGAGAAGGTGTATTTCACTTTTAAAATATAAATATTGGCATTTTTTGTGGTGCTGAAGTTTTGATTGATATGCATGCAAATATGAGAATTTAGGGGTTAAATATGTAACTATATAAGAATTGCATGGTCTGTATGTAAATGCCCCTAGAAATTTTTAGGTGCATTTACCTACATACCACCCAATTCCTATATCTGACACGTAAACCCTATTTTTTACATTTATATCGCCCAATTCTTTTATATCACATAGAAAATATAGCTATTTAGACTCTTAAAAAGTGAAATACACATTTCCATGCATATGCAAGGTGACATATATGTAAAAAATTGATGTTTAGGTGTTAGATATGTAAATACATAGGAATTGAGTGGTATGTATGTATATTTAAGGGAATTTACATGCATACCACCCCATTCCTATATATTTATATATACAACACCTTAACTTTATTTTTTTACATTTATATCTCCTAAATCTTTCATTTCGCATAAAAAAATACCACTATTTTAACTTTTAAAAAGTGAAATGCATATTTCCACACATAGGTAACATAACATAGATGTAAAAATATAAAGTTTAGGTGTTGAATATGTAAATTCATAGGAATTGAGTGGCATGCATGTAAATCTTCCTTTAGATACCTATCCCCTAAACTTAGTTTTTTTACATTTACATGCATACCACCCAATTCCTATATATTTACATATCTAACACCTAAACATTATATTTTACATTTATACCTCCCAAATCTTTCATATAACATCAAAAACATCACTTTTCTAACCTTTAAAAAGTGAAATACACCTTTTCATGCAGGGTTAAGGTGGCATATATGTAAAAAATTAAAGTTAGGTATTAGATATGTAAATAGCTAGGAATGGATTGGGTATGTATGCAAATTTTTTTTTTTTAATTTTTATTTATAAATATATTTAAAATTATATTTTTATATTGTTCAGATACATGGCTCCTGAGTATTTCATGCATGGGGTGGTGAATGAGAAGACTGATGTCTTTGCATTTGGGGTTTTGCTGCTTGAGCTCATAACTGGCAGAAGAGCAGTTGATTCCTCCAGAAGAAGCCTTGTGATATGGGTATGATCTATGCAAATAAAAAATTAGCATTCATGTAATTTTTTTTTAATTTTTATTGGGGCTTTTTACATACATACCAAGCAATTCCTTTGTATTTACGTATTTAACACAAAAAGTTTAATTTTTTTTTTACATTTATACCACCCAAATTTTCGTATCAGATCAAAAATATCACTATTTAACTTTTAAAAAGTGAAATATATCTTTTCGTTCATTGTAAGTGTTAGATATGTAAATATATGGGAGTTATGTAGCATGTAATGCAAGGGGGCATTTAAATTCATACCACCCAATTGCGATGTATTTACGTATCTAAAAGCTTAACTTTATTTTTTACATTTATATCAACAAATTTTTTCACATAACATAAACAATATCACTATTTTTAACTTGAAAAAAATAAAAATGAAATAGGTCTTTTCATGCACAAGTAAGGTGGCATATATGTAAAAATTGAAGTTTAGATGTTTGGTATGTAAATACATAGTAATTAAGTGGTATTAATGCAAAAAAAGTCTGCAAATTCAAACTCACAAATTCCCACAAAATTATTCCCAGGCGAAGCCATTTCTGGACGCCAAAGATTTCAAAGGCCTCACAGATCCTTCATTCGGAGAGGACTCTGATTCCGAACAACTGAAGCTCGCAATCTCAGTCGCCACAATCTGCATTCATCAAATCTCTACTTCCAGACCGAGTATGAGTGCAGTAAGCATTCCATCCAATCCTTCTAATCATTTTTTTTTCCTGATTTTTTAGGGGCTTCCTCTCAACAATGCAATTTATCAGGATTTTATTAAATCCTGTAAATCCGATGGAACTGTTTGACAATTTCAGTGGCCGTTAGGCAATCGGAAACCTGCAAACTTAAATCTCAAGCTCCCGCAAAGTTAAATCCGCGGATTCGCAGGATTTATGATTTACTGGATTGGAAATCGAAATCCGTGGAATCCGGAATTGTGGGATTTATTTTGCTTAAATCCGGCGTAAATTCATTGTGAGACAGCCCCTTAAGCTTCGGATCAGTTAGCTGTTCCGCCATTGTTGATGAGCTGTGGTTTAATGGAGTTGCAGGTGGTTCGGATTCTGCGGGGAGAAGAAGGAACGCAGGAGTTTAATGGAGGAGATTTGAGGCCGAAATATGCGTGCGAATTCGAAGATTATACTTGCTCTAGGTATCTGAGTGATCTCCACCGGCACAAGCAGCTGGCTTTGGAGCAGTGAGGAGGTTTAGATGTAAGGGGGAGTTCTGTAAAGGTTAAATTTGTTTGGGGTATTTTTGCAAATTGAAGAGTTTGCAGATTTGGAGCCTCTCTCTCGCGATTTAAGAGGAGATGAGCGGAGTTCTTAGCTCTTTATAGCTAAAAAAAAAGAGAGATTTGTGGGAACATGAATATAAATTATGATGGATGAGCTTTAAGATTTGCTTTAAAATTAGTGTCGCTTAATGAGTATTTGTATTCTATTAATCTTTAAGATAAATTCAACGATTTGCAAAACTTTGGATAAAATATGTAAATTTGGTAAAAATTATTCATATTCTGCAAAAAAAAAAATGGTATGATGTAAATTCAACGACTTGGAAAAATTTGGTAGCCATTTTTACATGTGCAGCACATGAGAGTTTTATATTTACATATCTCACATCTAAACTTTCATGTTCGCAAAGATGGCATTTCTAAGCTTTAAACTTATGATTTTGCTTTTTAAAAAATGGTTACAAATGTACCACATAAGAATTATGTATTTTCATATCGCACATATAAACTTGGTTTAAATTTAAATCATGTATATATATGCTATTTTTTGGGAAATATTAAAGATTTAACTATAGTGTAACTATGCAAATTTAGTAAAAATTATTCAAATGCAAAGATAAAGCAGTTGCATTACTACAGATACTGATGAAAAATTGTCATTATATTATTGAAATAATAAAAACCTAAATTTTAATTTTCATCACTTGAGAAAAATCACTAATAGTAATTTTAAAATGCAAAATATGCATTTTGATGCATAAATAGTGACAAATAAAAACATTTTAGGTGTTGAATGTAATGAAAAAAACAAAATTTTGCTCAACATAAGACAACTTCATGCAATTTAGAATCATAACAATTCAAAAACCTTAAATATAAATGTTTATATAATCTAGTAATGGTTCAGAAGGTGAAACCTAAGGGTTCATGATTTCTGGAACATTCTGGAACTCTAGACAATCCGCTCCAACTCCCTTGCATAGCTTAAAGTTTGATTGATTAATTGTAAGGAAGGTATCTCCTTGTGTGGTTGTAATTCTTTGGCCTTCTGAAAGAATAGGAATCCATTCTTGATCTCCCATTCCGGGTGTTCCTGTAAATATCAAATTACAATGATATTTCATTTCATCATATTACAACAATGATGAAAAAATAATATAGAAGAATCGGAAAGTGCACATCACAATGAGTAGTTGGCTTGTGCGCTGACTCGCTTTAACTATACTAATATAAAACAAATTTTAAGAAGTCAGTAGTTTTAAGTGCGAGATGGTACATAAAATTATATTTAACTTTTTAGAAGGTGGAGGTGAGACTTACAATGCTTTATGGCGGAGAATGTTGGCTTTTAAAAGAGAATGTTGCTGAGATAAAAATGGTTAGGTAGATGAGTGGCTTGACACTTAGAGGGTGTTTGTTGCGAGATCTTTACGTTAATAGAATTTCTCAAATCCGGATTTCCGACAAGCTCGTGACGGGAGCGAATGTCGCAATCAACGGGGACGTAAATCCGGCAAATCCATCTTTGTGGGATTTGGTAAATCTGGATTTGGCGGATTTATAGACGGAACGCCTGGAAGCAGACGTAACAAGAATAATTTCTGATTAACAGAAACTTGGATTTTGTTTTTTTTTTTTTTTGGATTTTTTTTTTTTTGTTTTTTTGTTGGTGTTTGGCTGGATTTGAGTTTAAATCTAGTGCTAAATCCTATTAAAAGTCAGCTACCAAACACCCCTTTAGAGACAAAATGTGAAACGAATGTATCTGTGAAAGAGTTGGTGTAGCTCCAGTGGCAAACAAGATTAAAGAGAGTCGTTTTAGATGGTTTAGTCACATTAAACATCGATCATCTGTTAATCCGGTTAGGAGAGATGCTTCAGATTCAACTTGTGTTAAGAAATGCAGTAATAAACCTAAAAGGACTTGGGCATATTGTATAAAAAATGATCTTAATTTTAATGAAAATATCACACTCAATAGGACACAATGGAGAAAATAATTGATGTAATCGACCCCACTTATGCGATAAAAGCTTGTTGTTGTTATTTCTTATAAAATGATTCTTATTATAATTCTTTTAATTTATCACTATTCTTATTATTTTATCATAACTATTGAATTATACACATTTTTTTCGATTTCATAATAAAAGAGCTAGCTCACGAGCCGACTCGTAGAATCAAACTTGAGCTCAAACTGAAACTCGAACTATCAATTAATCAAGAAGCTTAATGTCACCTCCCAAAAGAGCCCTTATGGGTGGTGGGCAGCCCAGGACTTAAATACTGCTTTTCGGCTCTACACCTAGCCAATGTGGGACTATTTGTCCGTGACATTAAGCT